GACTACTTGTTATATAATTATGCAGAGCCAACAACATTTGGGATAGGTGAGGTGAAGTGCCCATTTTCAAAAATGCAGACTGACTTCTAAATGATGTTGGTATTTCAATTTGTTGTTCAGTCTGTACAATCAATAATTACACAGGTATTTGGGTAGGTTTTTTTGAAAGGCTGTGGCATAGTTTGTTGTATATAATCTTGTGATGCCCAGATGGGTAATGATCCTAACTTGTGATAGAGAAACTCTAACCAAGTAGCCCATATACGAGAAACATGTGCTGTGAAATGCCAATTCGGAGAGCAATATGTTAAGGTTCCTGTATAAGACCACAACGTACAGTAGGCAACATTGATCTTTTTCACTGCAGCTTTTTTATTCTGCCGAGTGTTCTACATTGTTACTCGAACCAGCATAAGTTAAGAAATTACATGGTGGTTGCAGAAAGTCAAAGAAAATTTAAATGTTGCATAATTTTGAAAACCTGTATAGAATTTAAAATTTGTGTCATTGGCAAGTACATGATTGTTCTATTCGCAATACACACTGTTCATATTTAGCTAGATGATAACTCATAATATTTTCTTTGTAAAACTGCATGTTCAGTTTTTAATCTTTCATTGGTTGACTCTTGTGTATCAATGCCAGTCGTTTGTTGTTCAGACTGGGTTGTTCAGTCTCACTACAGTAGCTGTCTATAATAATATATTATGTTCCCTGCCTTGGCTACTGTTTATAGTTTGTCTACATGATACTTAACGACAGTTGGCAATGCACTAAAAGATTTCTCAGTGTAAGGAACACACTTTGTGGCTTTTTCATAAAAGGTTCACTTTGTATTCTCAATATAAAATTCAGCCATATTTCTCACAGGAAATTTATGGAAGGATAATTCCGAATTTTTAACACTGTCGCTTCGACAAAGTGGCACACAACAGGTCGTTCCCCTGTACATCTTACCTTTAGCACTTTTTCCGTGTCACTTGCCATATTTATCCAAACAAACAGCAAACCAAACGGCTCGAAACTTTCCAAAATATATTCGAAACAAGCGAGGTTGCTTTAAATTTCACTCACGTAAATATGTTGTAGTTAAAACTCCAATAAGACACTTGAACAGCAGTGAATAGTACTTAAAAGTACTTTATAAATCTTTGAAAACCTTTGAAATGTGAAAGCTTGGTATTTCAAACAGTACCTGTTTTGATTTTTCGCGCCAAACAACCTCAATGTTTTGTGGTTGTGAAACGAACGTTTGATCAAACATCTGTTGTTTTGGGACGGTCAAGTGTGCAAACATTTTTGTCTCTCGATTCGCTAGAATTAAACCGATCATTAAAATTTTTAGGCAAATAATAGTTTACAACGTGTTCCTTCTTTCGAAAATAATTTAATGCAGTACTCACCTTCATGTTGTGAAATATTCAAAAATTTGTTCCTGACTACTCCGAATCGAACTCCTTCCCCGCTTCAGTGACTTTGTACGCCATGTTAAATATTTCAACCGCACTCGCTCGTAGAAGTCCAAGACGAAGTAGAAATATGAAACAAGTCGTACAGATTTAGTCAAAACTTTAACCAAAGCGAAAATGATAAAAGTTTTCTTGCAATTCTCATGTGTTTAGCACCTTCCCTCGTTCGAAAAGTATAAGCGCCATGTTGAAAAATTCTGCTGTGTAACTAAACTACCATGATGCTTAGCAATTCCGCAATTGGCCCATTTGGCCACGGCTGGTCTCTCCTCCGCAGAGGTCTCCAACTTTCCGTAAGTTCTGTGTCCGTTTTTCCGTGCGTTTTCATTCCAAATACACGGATCTTGTAGTAACATCCCACGACTACAGACAGACATTATAGTTATCTATAGCTTCTTTATCCATAAGACAGACTTACCATTCTCCATCATATGGCAAAATTCTTTATAGCGTACACGGCCATCTTCTGTACGATAGAAATCAACAACTTGTTGTATTTCATCACGTGATAAGTTCGCAATAGTACCACAACACAGAGATAAACCACACACGAACTGTCGGTTAAATGATAATTGAAGAAAACATGTTAGATCCTCTATTCGACGTCACACGGTGCGATAAATCGCGAATAAGGGACCAATAACCAAACAGATGCGTTTAACCTACACGATTAACCATTAAAGCGTATGATTCTTCCCATGACGAGTATAAAATCGTCTGACGTTAGACAGAGTAAAAGAATAAAGTAGGGCGTATTGCAGCATGAATGGGTAAAGAGATTGGCTAGGCCAAAAAAAATATGTCGGTTTCCGGTTTCCCGACCCTACCTAGCTTTTGGACGTCGAAATCCCGGCTCTAAACTTTTTTATTGGATTATGCTTGCAAGTGTTTCCACTTAGAGGAAAAAGTTTGTGGAAAATTGAAATTTGAGGCAATATTAGGGAAATTTATCTTTGGATGTGGAAGCACTGACTAAACAAAATGGCGTCCGGTTGTTAGGAAAATTTTAAAAAAAGTTTAAAAAAAGAGTTAAAACCGACCTACCCTACCTAAGTTTTTATAAGAAGAAACCGGAAACCCACATATTTTTTTTTGGCCCTATATATAGGCTTTGATATATACAATACTACCAAAAAAACCATACTGTCAAGGTATATGATGGTCTGGAAACCCGGCAAATTTCAAAGCCACAAAATGGAAGACTTTTGTTTTCAATTGTTTGATGTTGAACTGTACCTCACTGTGCACAAATCCTTTGTCTCAACCTCATTAAATATTATACATCGTGGTTGCACGTTTCATATCAGCTATCCTTATTGGACGGTGACTTCATTATACATATTTGTATATATTTATACTGTGTATACTGTTTAAATATCCACAGTATTGTAAATGATTGTATTTTTGATGCGGGACCCCACTGAAAAACACGCATGTGATGTGGGTATCCAGGATAAATAAAATAATAATTATTATTATTCATTGTACTGTGTTCTCGGTTTTTCACTGGCTAAGAGCCTACAAATAATTTTGGGTATTTGTAGGTGCCTGCGCTATTGCCAGCGGAAACAGTAATCTGCAGAGGTTATCGGACGGCGCCCAAGATATTTCAGCGGTAATTTATGTGAAAATACAAATTGGCGGGAAATTTTTAGTTGAGCGGCTTTTTCAATTGTTTACAATGGCTAGTGCTCGTTTCGCAACGTTTTCAACGCAGGAAATTGAAAAAAATGTTTATTTCAGCTAGACGAAACTTGCTATAATTATTTAATACAGTAAATTTTCTCTGAGTGATTGAAATATTGTTAACAATTATGCTGTATTTATATTTACGAAAAGTTAATCAATTCAATGAATATTTATTTGTTTTCAATTGTTGCTTGTTTTGTTTTCTTTCTGTCACAAAATGAATACTAAAACAATTATTGAATTCGGCTTGCGCAGGATCATACCAGAATTATTCAGACCTCAGTCAATGTTATCTGCCTCAGTCTTCGGCAGATAACATTGACCTCGGTCTAAATAATTCTGGATATCCTGCTCAGCCTCATCCAATAATTGTTAATTGTACGAAAATACAATGAGCTCAATTACCGTGACCGTGCACAAATTAATATAAACTCAGACAAAAACATAATACCGGGTGGCCCCCAAAAAAGTACTCCTGTTTGATTCGTAATAACATCCAAACAAGTATAGCTTTTAAAGAGAAATAACTTGCATCAAATAGAGGAAGGACTAACTTAGACTTTGATATATTACAGTTGTATTTCACTTAAAAATTCACGGAGATATTAATCTTTAAATTCGGGAGGATATTTCTGGATGTGTCTGAAATATGCAAAAATCGGCGTATCAAATATTAATCAAGATTTGCCCGACTGAAACATGCACTATTACCAGTAAATAAATGACACTTGACAAATTGTTTATTATGAAACAAAGTATTATTATATCTATTAATCCTGCTCTAACCGAGAAATAATCAACTTTGTTTTGAACCCATGAAAAACATAAAAAAATAGGTTATTTAAGAAAAATTGAAGCGCCTGCCTTGCATGGTCTTTCAGTACCTTAAGTTTGAAAAGACCTATTAAATACTTACATAATTTCGAACGTTCATATTTCAGGAAACAATAAGTTAAGACTTACATGTAAGATGTCTAAATCTACGCCATATCCCTTACAAACCCTAACGACAATTCGCTGAAATACAATTTACCCTGATATGTCATTAAGCAAACAAACGCTGGAGTGAAAATTTGATACGCCGATTTTCGCTAATTTTAGACACATCCCAAAATATGCTCCCGATTTTGAACATTAATATCTCCGTGAATTTTTAAGTAAAATACAACTGTAAAATATCAAAATCTAAGTTAGTCCTTCCTCTATTTAATGCAAGTTATTTCTGTTTGATAGCTTTACTTGTTTAGAAGTTATTATAAATCAAACAGGAGTACTTTTTTTTGGGCCACCCGGTACAATGACTTCTGTTTACTGTATACTGGGTGTCCCCCAAAAAACGAAAACTATTGAAATCACTTATTGTTAACATTGAATGCCCTACCAAAAAGCTGAACGTAATGATGCGTAAAATATTGACAAGGTGCATGTATTAAAATTTAGTTAAGAACATCTCCTTGTAAAGTGCGCGATTTTCTGCTCTTGGGAATTTAAAGCAGCTTCTTAAATAGTTTCTTTATGCATAAAATTTACTTATGTCAATAATTTATGCACTCGTGGGAACCAACAGAGTGCTAAGGCATTCAAATTCTAACAATTAAATTGTTATTGGTGATTTCAATAGTTTTCCGTTTTTTGGGACACCCTGTAGTTTCCAGACCATCATATCTTGATAAGACTTGATAGATTATGAAAAAACATATAATTATTGAAAAGTTATAATTCTACCTGGTTTTCTGTGATAATGCCACTCCTGAGCTTATCATGATCACGAAAGAACTCAGTCGTTCGTACTCCATTCTTGTACACCGCGATACGGATCTTTTCAAATATAGAGCCAAGGTCCGAGCCCCTGCTCGCCTCCTACAACGAAAACATTTAGTTGTTTGTGTTGTTGGAAGTTGTGATTTCTCAGCGTTTAAATAGATGAATCCAGCTTTCTCAAATTCATTAATAATTCATGAGCAATTCAGCCAATGATAATCACCTATTTGATCACAAGATGGCATTTGGATAACCCGGGAAAACTTGATGAAAGTCACTAGTGTTTTCATCAAATTACGCATGCAGAATTACTTGAATAGAATTGCTAATTACGTTATGCTTGGTTAAGAATTCTATTCAAATCAGCAAACGAAAACATTCCGTTACGTCTCGATTCATTTGAGAAGCAATATGAACAACTCGATACATTGTTTCTTCATACATTGTTTTCTCGTGTTTGCAGATATCCCGGTGAAACACTCGCTCTCGTTGTTCATATATTACATATATACTAAATTTTGATCTAGGCAAGAAGAACAAAATCCATCACCACAGCTAGAAAGAGCATGTTAAAATTAGTAAAATTGCAAAGTTTGATTGCGAAATGTTGTAAAATACGGAAAATATAGCCCTGCGAAATTTGCAAATTTTGTATTAATTTGTATTACGCACGGGAAAATACACCGCTTTCAGCCCAAATGTGGTGCATTTTCCCGCGCGTAATACAAATTAATACAAAATTTGCAAATTTCGCAGGGCTATATTTTCCGTATTTTACAACATTTCGCAACCAAACTTTGCAATTTTACTCATTTTAACATGTTCATTCTAGCTGTGGTGATGGAGTTTGTTCTTCGTGCCGAGATCAAAATTTAGTCAAAAGCTGGAATTGCCTATTGGTACCGGCAGACACTTTGCCATTTACTAGACGTGCCAACTTATGGGGTTGGGTGATTTAAGAAAATCTCTGCCAATTTTTTGTTGCGATTAAAAGTCCCAGACCAGGCGAACACGTGGCAACAGGCATGGATATATATCCCAATAGCTATAGCTAACATAAATGAGACTAGTAAACTATATATAGTGTATGTACAGTAGTTAGTATTTGTTGGTCAATCGGCTCTTACTTGAAAGTGATGAGCTAAAGCGACAGTGTCCAAGGTCTTCTGACCATCGAGATAGTCTTTCTCGTCGCCTGCAATGGCTGAAAAGAATTTTAAAACATGATGAATCAAAAGCATTTGGAAGTACAACCAACAGTGTGGATATGCATTATAACGGTCAGCAATCGGCTGTTTGCCGAACAAAACACTAAATGATCGATTAGTATTATTATGCACGGACATTTTGACCGAGCAAATAAAATACGTAATTTTCATTTAAATGAAAGGTATATTACTTGATTAGTACTGTTCATAAAGGACAAAAGCGAGAGAAGGAACACAAAACATTTTCATGTCTTCGCTCTGACAAGCGACAAAATCACATCATGTATCAGCCATGCAGAAATTTCCAAAGCAATATCCATGGAAGAACTTTTCAGTTGCACGGATCATTGGGACTGTATTCTTAAGGTGGAGTTACAAGAACAACAAAATTGCTGCAACTTGCAACAAAATTGCTGCAACTTGCAACAAAATCTGATTTCAACGCATGTTAATGGACCATTTGCATTATAGACTAAATTTTGATCTAGACAAAAATTTCATCACAGCTTGAAAGAGCATCACAAAATTAGTAATATTCCAAAGTTTCGTTGCGAAATGTTGTAAAATGCGGATAATATAGCCTTGCGAAATTTGCAATTTTCAGTCATTTTGTATTACAAACGGAAATTGATGCCCCAACACCCGATTGGGCTGTCAATTTCCCGTGCGTAATACAAAATGACTGAAAAACGGCAAACTTCGCATGGCTATATTATCCGCATTTTACAACATTTCGCAACGAAACTTTGGAATATTACTAATTTTGTGATGCTCTTTCAAGCTGTGATGAAATTTTTGTCTAGATCAAAATCTAGTCTATATAATGCAAATGGTCCATTGAAAATGTTTACACATGATAAATTACAAATCACAAGGCAACATGTGTCGACATTTCTAATTAACATGCGTTGAAATCAGATTTTGTTGCAAGTTGCAGCAATTTTGTTGCTCGTGTAACTCCAGCTTTACCAAGGGAAAAAATGTTGGCAATAAAATAAAAATAAAATAAAACAACAAAATATTTACTGACCCTTCTGCCGTTCTACAACATCATCATGGAACTTCAAGTAATTACACAAGCCAGCTTTGTCAGGATGTCTGTGTTTCCTAGCAACAAGCCTCATCTCCGCTTCAGTGATATCTGGCGGACCGGGAAAACTGCGATAGAACTAAACGATTGAAACGTGGTAGACATTATATTAGATTTAGTAAAAACAATAATTTTTGTTTCATCATGGATAATATGTGGTACTGGTGGTAAATACCTTGGCGCAAGATTGTCAGTATTTAAAGTTGATGTGCATGGATTCGCATTAATTATGACAAATAATCGTATATTAGGTATATATACAGTATAGAACAGTGGCGAAACTAGCCACAGACTGCGAGCAGTCCCTCCTTAAACCCATTCTCCACTGGGCGATGTGATTGGTCAGCGAAAAAATTAGCCGCAAAAAAGTTGGATCAGTTCCTACTTTTTTACTGTAGTTCACGCGAACAAATTCGCCTAGTGAAATGAACCTCATCCACACAACGCAAAATTCCGATTGGTTGATATGTTATAGTTGATTGACAGATCTTTTTTTGAAAAAGTTCAATAATTTAAATGTATTGTTTTTCAAATTTGAAAGTCAACCGTCAAATTATGTCATATTAATGAATCTCGTAGCATTTTTATTCATACCGTCTTGAAAACGTTTAGTATGTTATTTCGAGCGAATACAATTACAATTGAATGTAAGACTATGTATTTTTGCTAGTAAAACGTAAATGTCGTCATTTCACTGCATATAAACTTGAATTTTTACTTTTAAAACAATACGATATGCGCTATAAATAATTACTTGTTTACAACGCCATAATTATTATATTCGAGCTAAGGGGCTCTATTCTAAGATATTTTAAATCATTGACTTGGTTATATCTCGAACTCGGTTGATTCAAGGTCTTTGCTATCTCCACTAATTTTGCCTCGAATCTATAAAGGTCCCTGACAAGTACTTATACAAACGAAATTAACTTTCTAGAAAAGGTTTTGAACACATGTACAATTAAAAATTTTTCCAACCGCAGATAGAAACCAACCTGGCTCTCTGTGACAAGGCCATTGTTATGTTTATCAAAATCAGCATAAGATGACTTGACGTTGATACCATGATATTTATAAAATGCTGCGCATCTTGATAGGATATAGTCATATCTTGATAATGACGCCGGACTCAGAGCTCTCCTGTTCACTGGATCACTATATCAAAAGCATTATAGGTTCATTAAATTTCGAATTCAAGAACAACCAAGCTGTCGATCGTATACTCATTCGTAATTCATGAAAAAATTAGCATACCTTGCGGCAGAACCAACTCTTTGCGTGTCGGGAGCTTTGCCCAAAATATTCGCATCAAATGCTGTAAGATTACAGGAAAATTTTGATGTGTGAGGAAATAAAAAGCCAAGAATTATATAAATCGTTATATATTAAAGGCAGCAGCAAGTCGCTTACTGGACTAAATTCTGGCATTCACCAGAGCATTGAGGGTGTAGCGGTATAGCTCACGACCCCCATGGAAAGTTGGGCTTAGAAGTTGGGCGTATGCATGTAGTGTACGCATATGTATATCAGTGTATTAATGAATTGTGACTGTACAACTCATCTAATTTTGCCCTTGATTACAATTACTACAAAGTAATAAAGTAGGAAAACGTGTAGAAAAGTTGGACAAACACAAAAGTAGGAGTTTTTGGAGCAAATAACACAAAATATACAAAATTGCCCCCCTAGGGTATATGTGGTAAGGGGTGGACCATTATAGATATCTGATGGGGAAGTTGTGTGAATTTTTGGTTCTCAATATTTTTTGTACTCATTCATCTATGCAGGATTTTTTCTCAAAACTTTTAAAATTAGATATTAATATAGACAATGAATGTTGCGTCGGTATAAAAGCTACGGCATCTGCTCCGCAGCAACACAATTCAAATGCGTTAGGGGCCATTCACAAAGGATGTCCAAGACGAGGGGGGGGGGGAGGTTTGGAAAATCAGGACAAACTCAGACATAGGGGGAGGGAGGTTTTAGCAATCCGGATGTCCGAAATTTTAAAAATTTCAAAAACAAATTTCTTTTTCCTCTATTTTGAACTTTCCTTCCCATTGTGAAATTGGCATTTTGAACACTTCATAATATTATCCAATTCTTTCCTTCACTGATGAATTCAACAGTGGCGTCAAATAAAAGCTTTCTGCATGTATAACTCTCCTTTTCTATACAATAAGTTCATCACGTTGTTGCAGTAACACAGTTGTTTGTTTTAATTAATAATTTATATGTTTTTGTACTATTCACATTTATAGTTATAAAAAAGTTTTAAAAGTAAAAAAAGTTTTTTACTCTTGAAATATGGTGATTGCTAGATCGTATACTTCAAAATAAGGTTTCCGTTTTATAACGTAGAAAGAACTATCCTAACGCAAAACTAAACCCTAATACTAAACCTAACCCTAACCCCAACTTAACCCTAACTTATTTTAAAAATAGAATAAAAACGAAAATCTTATTTTGAAGTATACTATCTAGCAATTGCCCTTGACATATACCAGGTTACGTGAGTTTTTGCGAGGCATGGCGGATGTCCGGGGGGAGGTAGGGTGTCACTAATTCGGACAATGCCGGACAAGGGGAGGGGGAGTCTGAAATTCCATCATTTGGCCTGACATCCTTTGTGAATGGCCCCTTATGCATGCATGTATTTGGCTGCGCCATACATACACCTTGATCCACACAGTGTGCAGCAGGGGCATGTGATGCTTGATTAATGAGGGGAGGGGGGCATATTTGGAATCTCTTCATCGTCGGAAATGGCATTTTCAGAAGCTTCATTAATTTATTGATTTTATGATTCTATAGAAATGCTATGGAATTTTATACTGGGAAAATGTACTTCTTCTCTTCCTGAGATCCTTTTATCTGGGACACAAATAGGGAATACAAATTATACGAGTTCTATACATGTGGATCTAATTATTATAAGTAATAGCATGGCTTGAGGGAGATTAGTGATTAAATGGCCCCGTAACCCGAGGCAGGTCCGCAAACCTGCCGAGGGTAAGGGGTCATTTAATCACTAATCTCCCGAAAAGCCATGCTATTAGTTTGTAATAGCATAGTTTCGCTCCCATTTAAAAATGGACAAACATGCCCTACTTGGAATCAGCGTATTTAAGCTAAAGCATTTGCTTCATTGCTTGTGGGATGTAAAAGCTTGTTGCACATGCGCACTTTTTACGCTTTAATCGGTTACGCATGCGCAATCTATCATTTAACGTACCACAACAAAAACGCTAAATATATTAGTATAAAATTGGAGACTGCACGTGCGTAATTTAAATGATGCGGCAACTCAGGGATCGGATGATAGACTATTGACGGCTCTGAGCTAACTGTTGCTGTTCCTTGCACGATTATGTGCGTGAGGCACTTGCCTAATGCGTAGTCGTCAGGGAGACAAAGGTGTGACCCTTGGTAACGGGCGATTAGTTCTAATCGCCCGCTGTAGCGGGCGATTAGAACTAATCGCCCGCTACAGCGGGCGATTAGTTAGTAATCGACCCTGTTGAAACAAAAGAAACCCGGGCAACTATGCTATTACGAGAGTTATAACATACTGATTCCCCAAGCCGTCTTAACAAAGTAGGATTTTATGAGAAAAAGTAGGAAAATCAAGCAATTTTTAATAAAAAATAGGAAAAGTAGGAAAGTTTAAGAAAGTATAGGAAAAAATAGGAAAAGTAGGATGGCAAGAAAGCCTGTCCACGCAGCCCACACACGCAAAAACCACACAAGCCATAGCAGCAATAGACCTTATGCATAATGACGTCACAAGGCTTAAAGCCCGCGAGGAATGCTGGCCAGTTAGTAGTCATCGCGCGGAAAAATTTCGATAGTGGCCATTTTGAATTGTTTAATTTTCCCGGGCGATGACTGCTAAGACCAGCATACCTCGCGAGCATCAAGCCTTGTGACGTCATTATGCATAAGTCTATTATGGCATTTTAAAAGTTCAAAAGCTAACACAGAAACTTCGCCGTTTCAAGCCAAGGCCTTTCGTCAGGAAGTTAGTAACGTAAAAGACACCATACATGAGAGACATCTTCCACGACGAAGGGCCTTCCCTCAAAATGTCGAAGTTCAACGAAGTTCGATTTTACAGCAAAATAAAATCGAAATTTTCGAAAGAAACTGTGCTATTTTATGATTCTTGTTTTATCTTGTGCTGATCTGGCCATGGTCGCCATCACTCATCCAGTCCTAATATTATCAACGATTCTGTGGTCTATGCAAATTTATCATGAAGAAATGAAACGAACATGGGTATACACATCAATTCTCTTGGGAAGTTTTTCAATGTTTGCGCTATTAACACTGAATATCGAACGATTCTTAGCCCTAACCTATCCATTTTTCCACCAAACCGCAGTCACTAAAAAAAGACTTTTGTTTTTTCTGGCATTTCTGAATATCATAATAGTCGCCCTGTCGCCATTCGTTGCTATATTTTACGGGGGAACATTTGGTAATATTCTTATAACTCTGTTTGTTTTATCTCTCTTGTTCGTTTTCATTTGCATAAACTACAAAATGTTTATCATCGCCAAATCAAAACGCAAGGATGAAAGCGTTGCTCCAACTAGCACAGCAACCTCCAGTAATCAAGGAAGAAAAAGACGCAAATTGAATTTCAAAAACATTTCCACATGTTCCTTAGCAGTTGGCTGTTTTTTCTTCTGCTCTTTTCCACAGGTCGTATATTCTACTACGCGTTTGATATTGAAGAACACTGCTTACGATAGCCGACAAGTCTTGCTATTTAACATATGGTCTATTACGTTTCTCTCGATGAACTCTACGTTCAACTGTCTAATATTTTTCTGGAAAAATTCCATCCTGCGTCGCGAAGGAATGAAGATAGTAAAATGCTTGTAGACTGCAAATTCTTGAATGCATGCCTGGGTGTGTCGGATGCTTTATGCAGCAACAGGGTCTGTGGTTACGAAAAGAAAAACCTTTGTATAGGGCTTCTTAAGCCCCGCGTTGGTATAATGTTGATTGATGTTCGTGGACACATAACTTGATTCAAAATTCCCATTCAACAATGTCCATGCCAAATAGTTTGAAAAGGCCTTTACGATAGAAATATAAAGAAATCGTAACAGTTGTAAAGAATCTATAGTCAACCAAAACCATAGTGTAAATATGATGAGGAATTGTGAACATTCACTATAGACCCATTGCACTGACGTCACAAATCTTTAGAGTGTCCTCCAGATGCTCCCTAACAATATCTGTTCGGGTACAACAACCACATACAGCGCAAAAATTAATCATTTTAATACAAAATTATTATATAAAGTTTTACAAAATTTGCTTTGTTTACAAAAGTTATATTATGCATAGATTGCTAATTTGTCCTCCAGATGCATCGTCACCGGCGCTGTGCCGTCATGTGCATTGGGCCTATATAGAGCTTCCAATCAATTCAAGCCTCATCGTGCTTTCTATAAATATTACGTTATATTGCCACAGACTTGCATGCGGAGCAAACTATATTGGAATAAAAGTCTTGTTGTGTGATTTTCGTTTTCCTCGGATAGTGTAATATTTAATAAAACACATTATAAAGGTGCATGTTTATAGCGTGGTCTACATTTCCGATTTTTATGCCTTTTATACTATTTCGTCTCTATAAGTTCCAACGGAAAAAATAGTGGGTCCTTGTATGAAAGTTGCGAGGTATACTGACTACAATTCATGCCTGTAGAAAGTTATGGAGCGACGCTAACTCCAAAGTGTAAAGAGCTATATAACTCCAAACAAAAATATAACACTTGAGGAACTTGTGAATTCAAAACTAACTGAGTTAAAATATGAATTGTGGAGTTACTGGCTATAACTCCAAAAATCATTTGGAGCTAGGTATAACTCCAAAATTAATTTAGGAGCTAGGTATCTAAGCCCAGAGTTACTGGCTAACTCCAAAAACCATTTGGAGCTAGGTATAACTCCAAAAATCATGCAAAAACTAGGTATCTATCTGGCTAACTCCAAAAAGTATGTGTAACAAGGCGAGCCAGCCTAGCCGCTAGGTGTATGTAAGCTTGAAGTTACTTGCTGTGTTGCTAACTCCAAAAATCATTTTGAGCTTGTTATCTAAGCCCGGCGTTATTACTAACTGGAATAACTGCAAGAATGCACTCTCAGAATACAATTCTATATTCTATATTAAATAACACAGTCATGCACTTGTTAAGACTAAAATACCCAGAGTACGCGCATAAACATGACATTGGCACACTTGGCATTTTGTTCTCGTTCAGAGGCTAAATTTTGATCTGCATGCAGTTGCTGCAAATGCGGCGCAACCATGCATTCCCGTACCCTGCAGCGACCCTTGTCATGCCCTGTTGACCGTGTGTAAAGACGGGTGGCGCCATAATTCATTGCCGTTTCGTTAAAAAGAAATTTCAAATGTGGCC